CCCCCCATTTGTTGTCTCCTCATTCCAGTTCATTCACTCAGTACATCACTCAGCAGTCAATCAATATACAACTCACCAGTTAAAAACAATTATATAAGCCTTTCACCTGTTACACAACATAACAGTCTCTTTTATAAGCAATTATATATTCAACCTTTACTTTTCATAAAACAAAGTTTATACCGGAACCGACCAATCCTATCACGTTATTAAAACTTTCCAAGCTAAGCTTGGGGGTCTTGTTTCTGATAGTATAGAAGGGCAGAGTTTGCACCTCCATCATCCCCTTCTCAATTCAGCAAAAGGGTTTCACAACCACTTTTGAGTCTTACACCGCACATACTTGCTGCAATGAACCCAGGATATCCGCCAGGGCATCACCCACCTGGCCAAGGGTCCACTCACCCGCTTGAGCCGCACAATCAAGACACTTTTTGACCACTGTACAACTGCGTTGTCAGCTTGCTACTATGGCAGAGACAACCTGTCATAATCAAATAAAAATAATAAATTACATAAAAAATCTAAGTATAAAGTAAAAATATTACATAAGTAAAATAAACTCTATTACTTATGTAAATAATATAAAAACACATAAAAAATAGAATTAAATTAGGAATAATAAAGAAATCTATAATTATTATTGCAGATTCTGAATCTACATACAATTTAACTAAGGTACCTCAGCCAAAGGTACCCCTATTTGTAACTCCTTTGTCCAGTAATACTCACTTGAAGAATTAACAGGTACCCATGGATCAACAGGACCTGAATAAGTATGTATTATACATAACAATAAGCATACACTCCAAATCTTGTCTCAGATTTGAAGTGTTATGTATAGTTTAGAAGATAGAGTTGAGTGGTGTGTATTGTCTCCAAGCCCGCGCGCCGCGTAGTCATGCTACGCACTGTTGACAGGCGCGCTTGACTACAATTGAGCCCAATACCCAAGCCCCGCCCGTGCTAGATATGCATAACCACCTTGGATACACGCAGAAAACCCCCTGGTTTACCAGTATCCAAGAAATGGGCCACAAGCGCCCCAGAATCCTCATTACACGTGACAACAAAGCCTCCACACGTGTAATAAAAATATAAACAAACTAGAATATGCATGAAAATACTACAGTAACCTAGAATATTCTATATTCCAAGTGGTAAAACGTGTAGCAAGCCTCAGAAACCACCTCTTGGATATTCTGTGGCCCATTTCCAAGGAAATAGCTCCACGTAACAGACTAGCCCTTGCCCACAGGTTCCAAAGGTATATTCTTGGTTCAAATATATTTGTTCATGACCCCTTGGAGCTTCTAGAACATTATCCCCAAGGTTTCGTCCCTTGTTGCGTCACTAAGTGGGCTAAAATGGGCCCAAAAGCGCTCCCAAGACCTACTAAGCTCCCCTGAGCAACCCCTGAGGCCTTCCACACGTACTTAAAGAGCCTTCTGACCGCTCAAATAATGATCCCCCAGCTTTAAAATACCATATAGAAACATACTTACCATTTACAAGTCCCCTACACTTGTAATTAGCCTAGTTACTACTATTATTGCTGTTATTAAAGCCTCAAAATTCCCCAAGAAACTCAACAGTTATCACCCAGCACCCAAAATCAACCTTTCTGAGCACTCCCAAATGTCCAGTTTCAACTATGAAGATCCTCAAGACCCCATAGGATTATTACTAGTAAGTAATAACCCTTTTCTTGAGATTTTCCCCTTAAATTCTTCCTGGGATTTAAACCACACCTGTTCACAGGCCCCAGTGTTCCATGTACCTAAATCCTCTGCTTTTTCACAATACCTTAGAGGGATTAAACCACCCCTGATTCATCAGGCCCCTCTGGTTTTATTTATATTAATTTTATTAATATAAATTGGCCATTTTTCCTATTAATTAAACCCATAAATTCCCTTGTTTTATTGGAATTTATTCCTTTAAAATTAAAACCAAAAATATATGAGCTTTTTGATTACTCTTGCACCACGTGTAGCTAGAAGATTTTACATCTTGGCATCACGTAGGCTGACACGCGTCATCCACCCTCATCGCCAGTAACACCCACGGCTTACATCCCCAGATTCACCAATCCGAGCACCACATTGCCAGTAACACCCGCGGCTCACATCCACTTGGCTACGGTACAACAGCCCGGATTTACCAAGGAGCAGGAGGGCAATCAATTGTGAACCACCCCACCTACAAGCAATCAGAACACTGTCCGTCCCGATTGTTGTGGAACTACCTGGTGGGATCAGATAGAGTGTGGAAGGGTAAATGCGCCGTGAATAAGGCTGCCCTCCGGTAAAAGGTGATAAGGTAGTAGACAAGGAGAGTTCAAATACTCTCTGAAGTTGTGGCGGACTATTTCTGACTAAAAGGTGAGATAATATTTCTGAGGACTTTTTTTCTAAGGACTATAAAACTAAGGACTATAAGCTAACTACGTTGACCACCCTGAGCATGTCAGGGAACTGGTGAGAGAACAAATGATGAGGGGAAAACATGACTCCTTATATACAAAATCTGGGGAGTGGCCAGCTTGTGGTTTGAGAAAAGGGAACAAGTGAAAAATATCAAACAGAAACGCTACGGCCCAGAAGGTGGCTGCTATGACTAAAGAGGACACAATGACATACCTTGCTTACCCAAATGGGTTCTTACACTACAAACAATACTAGTTTCGCCCCAGGAAAAAATGGCAATTTGAGTGGTGGAAAATTGTTCAATTTCCTGAGGCTTTTTTTACAAAATGCATCAGGAGTAAAAATCAGGCTAAAATGAGCTATTTTAGCCCAAAAATAAAAATGCCTCGAACTTTCCCAAAATTAATTTTTAGCTCATTTGAGGCATTTTTATATTTTGGCTAAAATAGCTCATTTTAGCTTAATTTTTACTCCTGAGTCATTGTGTAAAAAAATGCTCAGGAAAGTGATCTATTTTCCACCAACCAAATTGCCATTTTTTCCTGGGGCAAAATTGGTATTGTTTGTAGTGTTAAGTCTGAAACACGCATGGCCACATGCAGGCGCATGCATAGAGGTAAGAGACTAATCCCCAAGTGGGTGCATTAGTGTGAAACAGAAAGATAAGAGAAAGAGGAGTGCATATGCAGCAGCTGCAGAAAGAAAAGAATGAAACAAGAGAAAACAAGGAGGGTTCCTAATACCCTGGCTCTGTCTGAGGGGTGACTTTCTTCCCCCCACATGTGGTCTGGGTGCCTTGAGATTTCTGTCTTGAGGACCAAGGTGTTTGGGGCCTTCTTGTCCTGATTGTGTGGTGCATTGAGGCCTTGAGGTTTTGATTTGGCTCACCACATCCACCCCCAAATTGGATGATGTCCCCATCATCTGGACTTCTTGAGAGACTGGTGGAGCTTTCTTTCTTCTATTGATTTTATTTTTGATTTGATAAAATTTATTCAGATAATTTTTCACGTGATTTTTCATTTTTCAGGGAGACTTGAAGTATGTAAACAAATGAAGTGAAAAAAAAAAGAAAAAAGGAAGGAACCAAAAAAGAGGAGGAGGCAATGACGGAGGCAAGTCTTAGGCTCTGGGACGCTTAGAAATCCGGTGTAAGAGTGGGCTTTCATCTTGGGCTTCTTGCTTGTTAAAGTCCTCCTTGGTAGCGATGTGTACAGGGGGTCTAACTACTCTAACTAGTTTAACATGGAGGCAAAGACCGTTGGCGGTAGCACCGTCCAATTCCTCGACTGCGCTGACTGCGGACGTATAGGACAAAAATTCAACGGTGGCCGAGACGGATGTATCCTGGCCGTCGTAGTGTTGTTTTAGGGAGCAGCGCATTATTTTTCCAAACTGGCCAAAGGAGGTGATCACATCGGCCAGACTGGTTCCTTCAGCCAGGTTGGCAATGTTGATCTTTGTAGTCTGTTGGGAAGCGGGCATGATCCTGTCGATGAGCGGCATTGGTCCTGAGTTGGTGCTGTTGATTGACACTGGTTACTGCTAGATTCTTGACTCCTAGAAGGATTGTGTCTCTTTTTGAAGTATTCTGGGTCAAGAGGAGGTGCGGTGAGCAACTGATTCTGACAAGAACTGTCTGACTAGATAGCATTTTAGTCAAGACGTGGCCGGGGAACTGTCATTTCCTCAAACGAGTCCGCGGGAGCGGTCCGGTTTGTTTTAAGACAGCTAGAAAGAGAAGTGTTTGCAGGGGTATGCGATGGAATTTAAGCAGAAAGGGACGAATGGTTCCCTTTTCAAGTGGCGGTGGAAACAACAAAATGAAGAAACAGCACGGTATTCGGCCGGATTTGTTCAGAACGGCGGAATCAATCCCTCATAGCTAAGACCCGGTCGGAGACGGTTGTTTTCTTTGTTGTACACCTAGTCGCCCGAGTCATCTCTCATGACAAAGCTGATAACCTGAAGGCACTAGGAGGGTTCCAGAAAAAAATTGATAATAATAAAAAAAGAGCTAAAAAACAACTGAGATTGAGTTTGAAGGTTCCAGAATGTTCACTACAAATTCGATTTGTTTCAGTCGTTTCCGTTGTTTCCAAGCAACAATACGGGTTGGTACTTTTGGACCGGTAGTTACTAGATGAGCTACGGCCGGAGACGGTTGGAATGAGCCGACCCTCCTTTTTTTTAGCTTAATTGTTATGCTTGGCGAGTCCCGATTGGGGTTTCTTCTTCTTTTAACCATATTTGGGCGACGACCTTCCCAAAAGGCATCACTCCGACCAGTTTTGAATAGTTGTATTGTTTCCTCAGGCCCAAATGGGATTTGTGTCTTATAGCAAGACCAGGCAACGGATAAAAAACAGAAGTAGGAAGCAAAAAGAGAGAAAAAAAAAAAGAAGCAAGGAGGGGAGCGACTTGGTACTCTAGCTACCCTTGCTGAAGGCATAAAAAGAGGGGGGGAAAGGTGATCCGGAGTCAAGCCTGCTCCTTCTTATTCATTCAAAAGCAATAAACCCCCCCCCCCCCCATCTATATTTCTCCTCGTACAACGGATACATACAAAAGATGGTGTTCAATACCGAGTGGATTCCAAACGCTAAATTTTCTGGGGGAGCGTTTTCTGCCGGCGTAGCTGATGTTTCTCCGGGCAATGCGAGCGCTCCTCGTTCAAATGATGGAGATTCCCTTGAAAATAGTTCAATCGCTTCTGATGACGAGACGAATATTGCGCGGTCTGATGCTGACCCCGTGATTGAAGCAACCGGCGCCGTCGAGCATGCCCGCAGTGCTTCCCCTCCTGCCTATCGCTTGGAGGCGCTGCCCCTTGGTTCTCGTGAGAACCCGATTGAAATAGAAGATGAAGAGGCCAATACCGACAGAAGGGGTAATGACGAAATAAATGAATATGAAAGACTAAACAGACCAAGGTTCGACCCCGTCGAGATCATCCCTTTCCAAGCAACCGTTATTGATGAAGAGGAGGTCCTTTGCGCTCAAGACCGCATCAGTAGATGGTTCCTTAACCATATCCGACACAACTCCCAAAGGGTTTTGCATGGTCGATCCCGTCATGCTTGCGCTGCCGCTGGACCAGTGGAAACGTATTGGACGACCAACAAACTGATGGAATCTGTCTTGGAGGAGCTGGACAATATCTTGAATAACGCCTCCTGCGTTGAGTTGATCCACGTATAAAAAGTGAGCAGAGATGTACTGAAATGAATAGAGAATTTTTAAATTTTTGGGCTAACCACCCTGACTTCTTCTTTTTTTTTTTTTTTTGTAATTTTTAGCTATGAAGTAATGACAGACAGCAGTTGGGGAGCATTATAATGTACAGTGTGTTTATTTAAGGAGGGGTTGGGGTACTTTCAGCAACACTGATGAAATATTTTCACCTGCGGTGCTGCGTACCGTCTTTTTAATGGGGTCCCATCTAGTTCTTCGAGGACATAAGAGCCGGATTTTTCTTGAGGTATCACTCCGTAAGGGCCGTTCCAGCAATTTTCAAAGAGTTTTCCCCATTGGCTTTTGAGGGATCTATTGTAGACCAGTACTAACTCACCAGGACTAATGGGTCCCCGGTCCGCTTTTTGTTTGTTCCAGGATTCCACGGATTTTTCGCGTCTCTCCTTCAATTTCTTGTAAACTTTTTGAAGAGTTTCCTCCCGCCTTTCAATTTGGTTAGCCCGTTCTGACAAGAGGTCCGCTGTACTTTTTACTTCCTCCCAGTCTGTCCCTAAAAAGGTTTCCATTTCTAGATCAATAGGTAGAACTGCCGGTTGTCCAAATACTAGTTTGTAGGGCGTGTAGCCAGTTGTACGCTTGGTTGAAACCCTATCTGCAAATAAAACAAGTGGCAAAAAACTTTGCCAGTTTTTTCCATTTGTTCCACACATCTTGACTAGTGCATCTTTAAGTGGCTGGTGACCGCGTTCTACCATACCGTTGGCTTCTGGATAGTAAGGGGTGGTTATCTTAACTGTGGATCCTCCGCGGGCTATGGTCTCTTGAACGTCTTTTCCGAATTCAGGGCCTCTGTCCATGACAACTACACATGGTGCGCCATAGCGTAAGATCCAGTTTTCTTTGAACCAAGAAGCGACTTTGGCGGCCGTAAGTTTTTCGAGGCCTACTGCTTCTACCCACCCGGAAAGATCATCACGAGCTACAAGAAGGTATTTCCAACTACCGGCTTTAATGTGAACTGTGTCCATGCTGACTTGTCCAAAGATAGTATTTTTACCAGTTGCGTGTTTGTGCTCGAGAGGTTTGACCAGGCTATGCTTTTGACAGGCCTCGCAAGATTGAACCCACACGCCAATGTTTTTCTTCATGTTAGGCCACCAAAACCGTAACTTGAAGCGTCTATAAGTTTCTTCCACACCTCGATGGCCTAATTCTTCGTGGAGTGTTTCAAGGACAAAGTCTTAATTTTTCTTGGAGGATATGACAAGCTGAGGAAATGGTGTGTTCCTCCTTTTTAATTTACCATCTGAAATAAAAAAAAGTGGCTGATTTCTTCAAAATGGTTGCCCATTCTTCTTCGGTGCAGTCCTTGGGTCAATTTAAGGTGAACAAATATTCTTGGAGCTTGGCCCAAATTCCTTCTTGAAGAAACTGCGTGTTGGCCACCCCCAAATTCAAAGAATTGACCTCTTTCAAGCCAAATCCTGCGTGTGGTTTCACCCATGATTTGTCTTCGTCAAATTTGGTAGCAGTCGGTTCGTCCTCGTTGGGTGGACGTCGAGAAAGACCATCTGGCATGGTAAATGTTTTTCCGGGGACATGCTTAAGGTCAAAAGAGAATAGTTGAATAAAGGCTACCCAGCGGGTCATCGGCACATTTGGAAGCGACGGAGAATTAATCATCTCAATGAGGCTTTTAGCATTGACTAATAGCTCAAAATGTTGACCCCAAAGTTGTGATTGTAATTTCTTTAGAACCTTGGCTACCCCGCAAAGTTTGAGTTTTGACTGAGAATATCGTGACTCCACTGGCGTAAAAACTACTGATTTGTAAAGTACCGGGCGGTCCCGGCCATCCACTTCTTGAGTGAGTACGGCCCCTGCAGCAATGTAACTGGAATCTACCGCAAGCTTAATCTTTCCTCCTTTGTCAGAGTAATCAATTTTCTTCAGTGTTATGTCCTGCCCCACAATCGTTTTCAGAGCGTTGAAGGAGGCTTGACAGTCGTCCGTCCATTCCCATTCTGTGTCCTTTTGTGTGAGTTTTTGTAACGGAGCTGCCAGTTTGGAGAAGTCCTGGATAAACATTCGTACGTAGACACAAACTCCCAGGAAACCTTGAACTTCCGTGATATTGGTTGGAGTCGGCCAAGTCAACACTTTGTTAAGCTGTTTCTTTGCAATCCTGCATCTTGAATCGTGACTTTATTTAATTTTTGAAGGTCGTGGACCACTCGGAGCTTTCCATCCTGTTTCTTGACGCAAAAACTGGGCTTGAATAGCTGGAACAAGATTGCTCATAGAGTCCGGTCCGAATCCGTTCTCTAACCAACTCAATGAATTGATCTCTGATGGCCTGGGCAATAGGAATTGGTCTTTGTTGCCACAGCTCATGGGCAATTACTGGGATGATGTAAGGTTTACCGTATGAATGTTTCAATAATCCCCTCTCTTCTTCTACAAAGGCCAAGGCACCTTCTCAAAGCTTGATGACGTGCTTGAGCAATTTTAACTCTTCATCTGAAAGCCAGCCGGTCGGTCCAAAATTTACCACTTTAAGGCGTTCCTCAGTTATTTTAGCAGTAGGCACGAATTCTGGGGGATTAGGCGTGAGTGGAGTAGTGTAAGGGTCCCGAGATAGAACTGGAAAACTAAGTGGGGTCTTGATATTTTGGGGCATAGGTTTGTTGACCGGTTTTACTTTTTTTTGCTGTGGATTTATACTTGGCTGCGCAGACTAACACTCCATCGCTAAGTTGCATTTGTTTTTCGGAGACATTTTCTGATGATGCATCACTGGAGGCCGTAACCACGTTTGAAGTTGTAGTTACTTTTGTAGGAAAGGTTGTCTCGTATTCTTGATTAGCCGGAGTAATAATAGGAACCAAGTAAACTCGTCCTTCGTCGTCTTTTATGGATAGACTCTCCCCACCTTCTCCTGCGTACCACATAGTTGCTGATACGTCAATTAGGAAGGGTTTACCTAAGATAGGTTGCATGTCTCAGGTGGATACCCAGAAGTGGACATTTTGAGAGATATTTCCAATTTTAACGCGTACAGATTCGGCTATCCCAAGGATTTTGTTCTTGTGACCACCTATTCCTTTAAGGTTCATTTTCTTTTCCGTAAAGATGAGGCCCAGGCGTACCGCAAGATCCTTTGGGAGCACGTTGACCATGGAGCCGTTGTCCAGAAGGGGTTGGACTTCCTTACCATTTATACCTACCTTTATGTGGCCCAGCGGGCATGTGTAATGGGACCTGCGTGGAGCCTCCGTTTCTTCCTCTTCGTCGTTCTCTGAGTCCACTCTTCCGGCGTTAGTTACCTTTTCTGGCGGGCCGCCCTCGATTGGGACCTTTTGTCGTGAAATCTTCTTCTTGAAAGCTTTGGAGACACCATTGGAGATCGCAAAAATTTCACCATAAGAGAGTTCCATTTTGCCTTCCAAGACCATTCTTTGGACGACTCGTTCTTTGGCTTTGGGAAAATCTTTAGACAAGGTCTTTTCTAAGTAAGTTTTCTTGGGTACTTTTTCTTTTGCTTCTGGTGTAGTGACTTCTGGTTTCTTGAACTTAACTTTCATTGGTACCTCTGCCGCTGCTTTTTCCAGATGTTCTTTGTACCCTGAGAATAAGTTGTGGTTGTCTTGTCGTGCCAGTTCGGTAATTTCTTCCTCAACATCCATTAAGTCTTTGTTATCATTTCGAGTTTTCTTTGGGGCCGGAGTGTCAGAGACCTCTTTTCCGCTCCTCAATTGTTTGGCGGCGTCAACATCGTAAGAGCTAAGTTTTTCAGGGGTGCACTCTTCCAATTTACTGTAAGAAGTGCGGATTTCTGATGTCGGTTCCTCCTTTCTAATTTCAGTTCCCAGGGGAAGGTTGATGATTCCTGGGGTCTGTGATGGCGTGCAGTTCCTATCCACGACTTCTTTTATGGCGCGTGATCTGTTGGGCTGTACTATGGTTCCATTAGGAAGTTTGAGGTCCTTTCCTTCGCGGTAAACTTTCTTGTCGAATTTGTCCTGGGCAAATAAGCTACATTGATACACCGTGTGTTTATCCCCAAAGCAATAATGGCATTTTAAGGTCGACAGTGGTCTCTCGTATTGCGCCGGCCTGTAGGGTACGTGGCTGGCTGATATCACAGGGCCTTTCTGGACGTTCCATCCTGCTAAGGTCTTGGTTAACTCCTCGACAGCTGGATCCTTTTGTGGCGTATTTACTGGGGCTTGTGGGGGCGCTGGTTGATTGGCGGCCGGTTGCTTTGCCAGGGGATCCTCTCCTTCTAAGATTGAGATGGCCTTGAGTTCATGACTGATATATTCCATAATGGTTAGGTACGGCGGCAAAATGTGGGATCCATCCACCGATAAACGCATTTGGTTATCTCTGATAAGTTCCTTTGTGACTGAGACCTTAATTGGATGGACCAGGCAGTTTAATACGGCGTGTCAAATTTCCTCTGCATTACCCATGTGTTGGCATCGGACGAGGTAAGCCACCAAGTTATCTATCTTGATACGGAACTTTTGGAACTCCCGTTGAGTCTTGATACCGGATGCGCGTGTTGTTGCTAGGAGCTGATCCAAATTGTTCCTCGTATGTTTCAGGAGCGGCATCATCTTACCCCAACATAGCACCATCCGTTCTTTCAATTTTTCCCAGTCGTGGTTCTCCTTTTCGGCCATTTCCTGGACTTCTTAACCAAAGTCTTGCCTTCAAGGAAGAAAATTATCTGAAGCGCAATGTTGGATCCTAGGGCGCCATCTATCTATGCGGTGTATTCCAGGCGCTTAATAAAATTGCTGATGTCCATGTTAGTACTGTTGAACATTAGTCCTTTAGATTGGGACTTAATTTTGACTGGTTTTCGTCCGAATGGCTCCGGGTTATACGCCGGCAGCACAACACGACTTTACAGAAAATGAGGACTTGGTAGTATATTCCCTGCTTGGCCATGACTTGGGAAACCGTGACCGGGCAATCGAGATCCTGCAGAGTGCTCTGATAACGCCGGGTTCGCAGTTGGGCCATCTGAAGACGAATTTTCCGAGACATTGTTTTGATTGCGGGACGGTCCGGGGTTGAGAGGTAAGTTGTTGGATAATTGTCCAATATTGGACGAGTAGAGGTTTATAGGAACTGGCTGGTTATGGTAAGACATTTCTAGAAGCTATGAAGTAAATCTAATCTAATTTTTTTTGTGTGTGCTTTTATGGATTTTTAAGTGCGGCAAAAGTCGAGAGATAGTGATGATAGTAATGTAAGGAAATGATTTTTTTAAGGGATTTTTTATCTTAAGGTTGTAATGGATAAACAAAATGTGACTGTTTAATCTAGAGATCGTCAGGCCACTGTTGGGACACCACTTGTGGAACTACCCGGTGGGATCAGATAGAGTGTGGAAGGGTAAATGCGCCGTGAATAAGGCTGCCCTCCGGTAAAAGGTGATAAGGTAGTAGACAAGGAGAGTTCAAATACTCTCTGAAGTTGTGGCGGACTATTTCTGACTAAAAGGTGAGATAATATTTCTGAGGACTTTTTTTCTAAAGACTATAAAACTAAGGACTATAAGCTAACTATGTTGACCACGCTGAGCACGTCAGGGAACTGGTGAGAGAACAAATGATGAGGGGAAAACATGACTCCTTATATACAAAATCTGGGGAGTGGCCAGCTTGTGGTTTGAGAAAAGGGAACAAGTGAAAAATATCAAACGGAAACGCTATGGCCCAGAAGGTGGCTGCCATGACTAAAGAGGACACAATGACATACCTTGCTTACCCAAATGGGTTCTTAAGTCTGAAACACGCATGGCCACATGCAGGCGCATGCATAGAGGTAAGAGACTAATCCCCAAGTGGGTGAATTAGTGTGAAACAGAAAGATAAGAGAAAGAGGAGTGCATATGCAGCAGCTCCAGAAAGAAAAGAATGAAACAAGAGAAAACAAGGAGGGTTCCTAATACCCTGGCTCTGTCTGAGGGGTGACTTTCTTCCCCCCACATGTGGTCTGGGTGCCTTGAGATTTCTGTCTTGAGGACCAAGGTGTTTGGGGCCTTCTTGTCCTGATTGTGCGGTGCATTGAGGCCTTGAGGTTTTGATTTGGCTTACCACATCGGCATTCCCCATCTCCACCGGTCAAGGAAGTTTGTATCCGGACGGCGCCACTCACGGCCTGGCTGTGCAAAACCACAGGGCTGATAACCCCTTGGGCCAAGGCACTCTCACAACGCGGCCACCTCACCTCGCAACGGCGGGTCCAGTGCACGCGGGATTACGGTCCGGGGCTGGCAAGGTAACACCTATGCTCTCCCATCATCAGACTTCACCACATGACTACCCTGCTGGCTCGGTAACCTGTTTGATTCCTTCAGCCCCCCTGCACCAAGCTCTACTGGTCAGCAATCAACGGCTGCCTATTCAGCCTCCTGCAGACATCCCGACACGTTCCCCTGGTGGATCCTCCGTCCCGAGCACCATTCTGGCTAACGGCGGTGTACGTACTTGGAAGCCCAAACGTACGGCTGAGGAGATGCAATTGGCCGACCTCATTGCGGCTGAGAAACGTGCGCGTAGGTTTCAGAACCAAGCTGATAAGGCCGCAGAAGCTTGTAAGAAGCATGCGACCATTGCAGCAAACAAGATCCTCAAGGCTCAGAAGGCCGCGTTGACAACCCCTTGGCCGGTGACCTGGATGGAGGAACAGACAATCGAGCTGTTGAATTTTGTGAGGATGGTCAAAGAGGACCATAGTCAGGTGACAGGCGGTTTTATACCGTTTGGGAAGTCCTTTGCGGCTTATACTGCCCGTCCAGAGGCATTCCCCCTCCTGCAATCCTTTTCGACTTCCACCCGTCTATCCAAATATCGTGCCCTGATGGATAAGTGGAAGGTCAGTTTTTGGCTGGGGCTATCATCACATAGATAGGGGTTTCATGGCTAACATGGTTGTTTTCCTTAGAAAGTAAAAGACGTCGTGGAACGGTCTGGGGCGGGCGGATTATCACCGGCTCTGGAAGCAGGCGGTGTCTCCCAAGAGGTATGCTGGCGATTCATTGATCAGACGTTATACTCAATTGCTGACCCTTTGGTTAGGTTTGGGACTTGATCCTCGATATGCACGGGGATACCTCGGCAGCGACCGGTGAGGGGTTATCTAGTTTGTATGCCAATTATGAAACCCTGCTGGAGGAATCACCCCCATCGGTCAGTTCTGGCGACTCTGGGTCATCGGACGTTAATGAGCCCGATAGCCTCCCCACAACGCCTGCCCCCCGGAAGAAGAGGCTCACCAAGTACCAACGGCTATCAGCCGGCCTGAACCCAGCCAAACTTGCCTTGGATCCTGACTTGGAATCTGATACAGACCTACCTGCAGAGCTTGTTTTGGGGCCCCCTGGGGCCTCGACCGGTTCGGCCGGGCTGCAGGGGACTTTCCCCACTGCGGTTGTGGGGGGCTCAGTTGCCAACTGTCAGACACTGAGACACTAGTCCATGTGTCTACATGAGATTTTAACCCTCTACAGGCTACATAATAATAAATATTATTATATGTATTCTTTAAATTAATAATGATTTACCTCTGTACATATTGATCTCTCTCTCTGGATAATTAATGTACCTCTCTCATGAAAATAATAATTGAATTGCAAAGGATAATTATCTCCTGGGTGTATCCAAGAGATGATTATCCTATTTACCTCTTCTTGTGTGTATGATATATGTTTATCTCTCTTATGGTATTTTCTGAAATAAGAGAGATAGTCAACACATGTACATGTGCATGTTTGAATATCTTGACACTTTCCCCCAAAGGAATAGTGTAAAAATAAGGGGACTGCACCGGTCCAACAGGCAGCCTGAACCCTGCCTTGCAATACTTAAGGGGAAGGCTTTCCCTCTAGGATTCCTTCCCCCAGAGATTATTGCCATACAAACCCGTGTACCTTACTTAATATTAGTGAGTGGGGTTTTAGCAGTAAACTCTCCCTTTTCTCTTTACCTTCCATCTTTATACTTATTCTACTAGCCTAGACTACAGTTAAGTCACTACTGTAGTCTAGAAGAGAGCCTATTTTGATCTGCTCTAAGCTCGGCGTGGTGATGCTCATTCCACCATCGTCCCCTCTAACCCAGGGAGCTAACCCCTCTGCTTTCTAGCATTGAGGTGAGGTTTATTTCCACTGGCCACCTCTGTGGCTATAGTGTGACCCTATACCCCATCAACTCCTGGTCACATAAGAGACCGGAGCTGACACCAACATCCCAGGAATTCCAGCCACAACCCCTTTGGTCCCCCGCAAGGGGACCAAGATCAAGGTCAAATTGGGTGCGGCAAAACAGTCTGTCAGCCACAGAGCACCTTTCACAGTACGTGAAATGTACCTAGTAACTGCAAATAATAACAACTAATTGAATACTGGAAAATATTATACATTGTTGTTAAAATAATAAATAAATAAATATGTATTTACATTTAATCTTAATTCATAATTTATATTCAATAATTCTATAATTAACTGTGAAATCCCCTTGAGTATTGTACATATAATATCCCTAGGATTTCACATAAATATCATTGGAATAAGGTATTAAAACAATGTTTATTCTTATACATTATGTACATATTTTATAAGCCATAAATAATTACATATGTATAAAGAATCAGCTAGTAGAAGCGTGAAATGGATGAGGAATAAGCTATATAGATTTATCTGAAGCTTACCCATCCTTGATCACATCATCAGGGAATCAGATTGCATCATAACCCTCTTTGATGGCGCCATCAGGACCCTTTTGTCCTCTAATTCAAAGCTTGCATAATTCAAAGCAGCCTACACGGGAAAGGAGCCCAAATTCTACATGCAAGACTGAATTATGCATGAAGGACATGCATTTCTCATGATCACAAGCTTGCATAAGCAGATTTACACTTATGCAACCAACTCTACAATTACACAGCCCCTGCAAAGTAACTGTAGCCTTTTCAATTACGTGAGAAATAGGCCACAAAACTCAATTATGCATGTATGATCTCATGTCCTAGGACCTTCCACCCATGCACAGCACTGCACAGCTGCAGCTCCCATCCTTACACAAAATTCTAGAGCTGCTAAGAAGCTCCCTAGTGCCCTGAGGGCCTCTCCTCTTCCCCTGAGCCCCTTGTAGAATATTTAAGGAGCTCAGATTCCTACCTTTTCCCCCCAGGAAATTCTAGTAGCATCAAACCAACACTTGTAACGTGATTATTAGTGCTTCAAACCACCAATAACATTAAAACCCAGCTACCTTAGACCTAAATAGATTTACTTTGCTCAGATTCAAGGCATTTCTACTTATCTCTATTGCATAAAGAATTATCCCCCTGGTTAAACAATTCTGGTCCTTAAGTTTACATACACTTATTCATCTGGATTGTTGTTAAGAGACTTGATCCCAAGTGAGTAGAAGAATTCCTCACATTGGAAGCCTATTAATCCACGTAACAGGATTGATCTGGATGCCCAATTGAATAATTGGATGAGTCAGAAGTAGAAGTACCATTCCTCACTGACTCCTCCCTGTTTCTTTTACAGGTTGAGTGATTTAACCACAAATAAACCTTCTCAATTACTCTTCTTGTTAACACTCAGAGCACAACCCTTACAGGTTAGTAGCATAGAGGCTGACACAGTCCATCAGCCGCCCTCCAGCCGAAGGCTCTAGTATCCCTCAACAACGTGGGCGCACCAAGGAGAAGAGTCGCGATGATGCCTCTGGGACCAGAATGCTTGTCATGATGCAGAAGGCCCAGGAGGCGACAGCCTCATGGGCCGCCGAGGAACGTCGTGATGCCCTGGTTGAGCAAGCGCAACAGGACGCCCTTCGTGTGGAGGAGCGAGCCAATAGGCAGCGGTTGGAGGACGCCCAAGCGGACAAGCGGGCGGCGGAGCTGAAGTGTCAAGATGAATTACGAGCGGATGACAGGTGGGCCGGGGAGAAGAGGGCGGATGCCATGGAGGTCCCACGCCGGCAAGAAATGCAAGAGGCCAAGGAGGACCGGGAGCTGCTGTGTCAACAGGCAAAACTCGACCGTGAGGTGGCCAATCATCAGATGAAGATGGAACGGGAGGCGGCCCAGGCCAGGGCGGCAGAGGATTGGAAGCGTGAGCGGCAGCGGGATTTGGATCAGAAAGCCAAAGAGAAGAAGGAGGCGCAGGAGTGAGAAGATCGGGCCAAGAGACAGCAGCAGTCACGGCAAATGTTTGAGCTTGCAATGCTCAAGGCCATGGGCTTTGCGGTGGCCAATCCGGATGATACACCTCCTGCTGGTGGGGCTGGCTCAAGCAGAAGATAAAGCGGTCTAAGATTTGAGTTGGCTTTGTTCCTTAGATCTTTGGATGATGTCCTTGCGGACCCGCAAAATGATGACTCATTTGATTTTTTGTCTTATATCTTTGGATGTTGTCCTTGCACACCCACACAATTATGTCTATTCATGTTCCTGCCTCTCCTCTCTCTCCCATTCCTTTTGATCTTGTCCTGCCCCCCCCCCACCCCCGGGCCCAAAGGGGGGTGTGGTTTATTTGACATGAAAATCATAGGTTCATTGCATCTGCACCGGTGAATGTATTTCTTAGATGAAAAACACAAAATTGACCTTCTGATTGTGTCAAAGACAATGACCTTGGTCAAAGAAAAATAATGACCTTGAAGTTACAACTAGGGTCAAGCAGGCCCTGCAATCTCCGATCTAACCGTTGGTAATTTCCCAAGCAGAGGTGGGCCCTGGCCCGACTTCCATGAGCTTGTCAAGATGATCCCAGTGGCGGAAAATTTGCCTAAGTCGGGCTGGTTTTCATACGCGGCACTGCATTAGTGATCAGCGCTCACAATCTACATTATAGTTTATGACAACCGCCAGCAGCTGACCTTGTATGGTAGGATGATCACGAGAACAATTGCTCGAGGCCAACGGGTCACCATTCTTCTTCAGGAAGTGTGACCCGGCGTTGTAGCTCATTTGAAGGTAGCTGAGCATCACATTGGCATCTGAGAGAATGGACACATCAGACACTTGCAAGCACTGGAGAGTCCGTAAGGGGCTTACCAGATCGAGTGTGATGGTGTATGCCGTGCTTAGTGAATTCAGCTAGGAGATCCCAATGGAACAATGTCTTGTTTTGACTTCCTTGCCATTGGGAATAATGATTGCCGCCCTTGAGCCAATTGAATAATACCAACAGGCTGTTGGGTCCACCTGGTTGTCCGTTGTTTGCCCAAAGAGTCCGCCTGGTTGAAGTGGTCATGATTGAGTGGTGGATGATTGCCGCGTTCCTTGAACAGCCTTCATGCGTTGGGTATGATCTTCTTGAGACAAGAAGTCTCAAGAAGATCATAACCCTACTCTGGTGAGGCACCCAAAAACCACATAGAAACCTCAGGTGAATTGCCCCCCCCGTCCTCTGGTGGCAGGCAGAAGGAAAAGTAGGCAACCAGATGTCCGATCACAACCACACACTCGATAGTCCTATTCCAGACACGGACGCACTTACCATTACAAGAATTTAAGGGATGGTTGACCAACACCACCTATCTTCCGGGGGACTGCCCAACGCACCAAACAACGAGCCGTCAAACCTATGGATCCGGCGCACACCCAACGGGCCTCATGTGGCTCCTCTCAATCAAGTAAGCATTCCTCCTAATTATCACGTGCAAGAGCCCGAGTGACACAGAATCTAACCTAATCCCATTGAGGACCCATCAGGCCAAGCGCGGGGCGAGTCCTCCATCCAATGACTGCAAGCCCAATGTCAGACCCAAGAATGTTGCCCCAATCCCGGCCCAGGAACCACCGTTGACAAGGACAAACTGGATGAACCAGGCCAGTCAGGTGGCCCCGGATCCCTTGCCAACACCCCAACCCAACTGGATCCCACAAGGCCAACGTCCAAATGGCCCCGCCGCAAGCCCATGCTAACGCCGCCGAGCTAGAAGAATTCCTCTTGCGCAGCGGCATCCAGCCCAACGACTGCCACACTCGGGAAATCTTGGTGCAACATTGGATCTCCCAGTGGGAGCATTTCCTCCTATCAGATGAGGCAGACCAGTCCGCTTCCAGAATGAGGGGTCACTGAACCATTGTAACAAATTTTTAAATGCAATGCAATATGCCCGATTTGATCCTATCACATGAGCCATGGGTTGAGCTAGCCAGCCTCGCGCCTATACAACATGTCCCTGATCCTATCCCTCCTGGTCCACAATGATTCCCCAGGCAGGCGGGGGGTCTGATCATGTTCATTGAGCCTGGGCAGTTCTCCAAAGCGTAACTCGTGTCGTGATTGTTCGTCCCAAACTTGCAAGTAAAGCAAGCCGCGTTTGTAGATTAGGTTGTGTAGAATCATGCAAACAAACACTGTTCTTCTCGCACGCACCGGGTTAGCCTTCTGAGTGGTGAGAAGGATGCGGAACCGGTTTTTCAGTACCAAAGGGTATGGGATGAGCACGTTCACATCCAAAGGGTAGCCCGCATCACCGATGAGATGCGTCCCCGGTGGGATCCTCATTTGTCGGCCCAATGCATTGTTCAAACTAATCCAGAGATTGGACCGGCGGAAAACCCGGGTATCATGAATGGAGCCCGCGCCGCCGCCAAATACCTGCCCCACCGTCCAGAACCTTTTGTCAGAGATCAGTGCATGTAGGAGTTGTGAAGAGGTGGATCACATACATCACGGAAGTTGCCATCACCATCAACCACGCACTGGAACACCAAGGACACCCAGTTTTTCCGATTAATGTAACCCTTCCACTCATCCAAAGGTGGAATGGCAAACAGGATGTGAGTCCCATTGATAGCCCCTACACTGTCCGGAATGCCATGTCGCCATTCAAACGACTTGATGATCTTGTCCCATTTGTCGTGTGCATCTAACCCCGGAAAGCTGCAAACCGATGGTGTCAGCTGTCGTGATTCTCCGCAGTAGTACAATTGCATTAACCGATAGTCTTGGCTGGGACTTACCTGATTGTCCGCAGCCTCAGGACCTTGAGAACCGCTTGGACAAAGCGACCGGTCGCTTTGTCTGCCGTTTCCTTCCCAATATTGAAAACGTGTGAAATCATCACGTAAGTTGCGTCATGGCCTAAACGATAGAGCCCCACCACCACCTGAGCCTCAACAGATAATGGAGCACCCTGGCGGAGGGGATCCTGTTGCAATTTCTTGCTCAGCTCGTCACTTAGCCATGCAAAATCGGCCCTCAACATTCGGAAATACTCAATGAACCGCACGAGAGGAAGCCGGTCGTTGTTCCAAGGCTCCCAGCGCTTGGGGCGGACAAACACTGTGCGGTCGGCTCGGATATAGATTTTCTGATTGAGGGCTTGTTTGTGTCGGTTCCACATCCACAGGGCCGCGATTTGGTTGAGGGTGGTGGGGTTGATTGGCGGAGGCAGCATGAGGCCCGTAGTGTGCAGAGGTTCAAGCTGATACAGGCCGGCTGCCCGTGGATTGGAAAAAAAATTCTTACATTGTGAGCCTGGGTCTCTAAAGTGACAGCAGGACACAAGAAAAGGGGGACAATTCTAGATGTATTTCAAGGGGATAAAGAAATACAACTGGAAGGAGAGAAAAGAGAGAGAGAGAGAAAGAAAAGTATAAAGGAAAAGAATAGTATTTTTTTATTGTTTATTTGTTTTATAATCAAGGTTTACGGCAGTCTTACTTTCCTGTGGGAGGATAGCTGTTCTATAGCGCAATAAATCTACGCCTCCTAACTCAACTGAAACTGAGAAGGGTTCCTGATATTGATAAATCAATCCGGCCACTATTTTTTAGATCTAAGATCAAGGGTCTTTAAAGGGAAACCTATCACCAGGAAAAAAGATGTGGCACCCAATAGTGGGTGGTTTTGCTGTATCCCCTGAAAATCCATCTGTGTTGTAATCAGGACAACCAACGGTTGTATCTCTCATTATATCTCATCTAGATCTCAACTTTATCCTTCGTCACTTCCAGGGTGGATGTACGGTCAAACTGGGATGTAACTAAACAGATTTATAATTTCTGTATAATACCATGAACTTTATTTGAATTCAATATTGTCACTATCTGCAAAACACTTCTGCAACACTTGAATTAATGTCCTGACATCACTCATCCTCAAGGTAAATTCCACAGCAGCTGTTTCCAGTCAGACTATACATTTCCAATGGAAATCAAGATGATATTTTGATTCACATGAAAGGATTTACTTGGAACAGGAAATAAATAGGTCAGTGGTGTCTTGTTGATTGGAGCACATATGGGGAAATGTGATTCAAAAATGAGGAATCTAATGTCTCTCACCCTGAGCCACCCCTCCTCCCCCCAATGCACACACACAGAATATTGGCAAATCTACTGAAATTTATCAAACATACCTGATTGACTTAACACTTTCTCAAATTCCAAATAAGAGAGAGGAAAGAAATTGTTTCCAGCATTTTGGTTGTGGATTTCAGAAAAAACTACCTGATTACACATTTTTCTCAAAGTCATAGCCACATGTCAAACTAGATATCAAAGAATTCAATATAGCACACATCAGTGTAGTTAGTGGAGATAAGAAATTTGAACATGCAAAATTTCCAACCCTGGTCCCCCATCATTGAATTATTCAAACATCGATTTTTGTGAGCTTGTATTGTGGTGAAAAAATCAACCAAAAAGGTTGGATAAACAAGGGCTCTGATACAATGAATTGAATGATTTTTTCATCATAGTCAAGATATCAGAAAAACAAATATAAAGGGCTTCTCAAAATTTTTCTACCAGGAGTAGCACCTTTCTCTCATTTAACTTTCAGGACAGAAATTCAAGTAAATTTCAATTTTGAAACTGCAACAGGTGCAGGAGATCAATTAAGTTTATCAATTTTATTAGAAACAGGTTGATTCAGAAATATATGGAGGCTCCAATTTTCATTTCATTTTCATTCATTGTTTTAGACAAGTTTGTTGGATCATGGAGACTACTGAGTTGAATGCCAGATATAGCTGGTGTATCACATTTTTTACTGCATTATTTATTCAATCGAACTCATGTGTATCTTTTTGAATTGAAAGCTAAATCCATGGGAAAGGATCCTTGAAAAAACCCCTAGTGCAGGGAACAAATCACAGAATTGCTTTGTGTTAGAATCACACAATTTTGTTTTATCATGATATTCATTCAAACAACAGTGCAGGTCAAAAAAGATTGAATATTCTGTGAACCTGATTAATTTGAGATTTATTTTCATATGAATAATATGTTTTTTATTAAAATTCTTTATCATAAACAAATTGATGTGGGGTGAGGGCTAAATGAGCCATATGGCTCCTGATGCCAAGTTGTCGTATTGTGAATGAAAGGAAAATGAATGTGGCCTTGAATTCTGTAAAAGGAGTGATGTAATTGGATTAGAAATTAAGAAAATCAAAACATAAAAAAATGACCTCAACTCTAGAGCAAATGGACTTTTCCTGATGGATTATTATATGGAAGTTGAAAAACTGACACATGAGCCTGTCAGTAGTGTGTGATATTGGTGTTTTTGAAGTTGAGTGACAATTATGACAAACTTGAAGATAAATCTTGATTTAATCTAAAGACACCCAGAAGATGTGATTGACAGGAGCCAATTTTTCAAATTTTTCAAGAAGACAGCTTAATTGAGTAATTTTCAGTAGATTCAATGTCTTCTTTAAAATACAAGGTTATTTAATCTGGTACCATCTGAAGTAAATTTCTTTCTTTCAATAATATAACTGTTGGGAAAGAGCTTATACATAGTATTCCATGTTGAACCTGATGTCAGATTTCTTTTGAGGGGTAATCACCACCAAAAATTACAGTAATCTATCAGAAAAAGTCTTCACTGTATATGCGAGAAGAATCATGAAAATAGCATCAAAAGCCTACTCATCTGTGGTGCAACTTGAACTCAGTACTAAAAATATCCACACTTGAATAACTCTCAAGAATAATCACTAGCTTGTTGAATAAATCCAATATTAAGAAGGGGTGGGATAAATTGGTATTTGGAACATGGGAACACTTTTGAGGGGGGGGGGGGGGCTTCAAAGTAGTCAGGTCAGCTCATGGTCCAAAATAATTAACAGGCATGTATGATCCTTAGATGACCAAGTTAATGGATTGGGGGGCCTTCAAGGCAAAGAAATGTCAATATAGTGGTGGAGAAAGTGTACACAGGTTTAGGAGTATTAAAAATTACACCCTTAAAATATTTTCTACTCATGTACTAGAGGACAAGAGAAATTTCATTTATCTGAAAGTAGAGACCAGGAGACTTTGAAATATGGTATCTTTTAGATTCCTTAAATTTGAAAGGTTTACATAGAGCCTGGATAGACTCTCAGGAGTCAATTAGAAAAATCAACTTTTCTGATGGCATCCCTTCCAGTTGAAAAATCAGATTTTGAGTTTATGATACAAAAAAGGAGGGATTTTGCCTACATTAGGGTGGTCCTACTCAAAGCTCCAGGTCAAACAAGGTTATATATAGTGAATTTTTGATTTGACAAAAGATCTATGAAAGAGTATGTGCATTCAAAGTTTATGCTTTCTCTGTGATTTGAAGTTATCCCTTCAACTCCCACATCAGAAAGCCGACACACTTGAAGATGGTCAAGGTGGGAGTTTTCAACAATTTGAATACAAATCCTCAAAAATAGATGGTGTTCTTAGAATTTTTACAGAAAATGTTTACCAAGACAAGTATTTCTTTTTGCACTGAATGATTCTCCTGGTTTGTTAGTAATACTTGTCATAATGTTTTTTGGCAAGTTTTGTGAGGCAAAACACCAACTCAAGAATTCCTCTTCAGCTCACAGGTCTAGATTAAAATTAACCAGGAACACATCCATCAGGGAGTTTTTTTGATACAGAACTTATCCTTCCTTTTTTGATGAAGGAAACAGTTTGCCAAGCAGTTCTGCTACTGCTACAATGAGTATTGGCAATGAACTTCATCTTCAAATGACACTAATCTGGAGCAGCTGAAAACACTTACTTAGTGCCTTGCCTCTTTTGTTTTTGTTGGAAGTGTTCGTTTCCAAATGTTTTGATACTACACTCACCTAAATAAATGAAAAACAGCAATACATTGCAGTTATTAGAGGGAAAAAATGGGAGTGTTCAGCACCACCACTTTTTTGTTCAGAGCTAGATCCCTGCAATGCTCTACTAAGAGGTACCTTTTCAACAAATATCAGATATTACACACACTTTTGAAGGCAGAAGTGTGTGTAAGAGAAGCACAAGGTGGTGAAAAATGTGCTTATGTCACTGCAGTGTGATCTGTACAAGTGCAGCATCAATTTTACACAAATGTGCTCTGTAGAGAAAAAAGTTTACCTCTTCCACTGGAGTGTTATAGAAGTAAATATCCATGAAACTGTAGGTTTACATCAAACCCCTGAGTGAACAGTTTGAGGGGCCATCTTTAGTGTAAAGGATTTTTTCAGTTGGGAAAAGTTGGAAAATCAAGGAAAGCCTGATAGATATACATAGGAGATCTGGTGTTATGACAATTAAATTCAGGATTCAAAGTCTCAGGATACTCAATACTCAGCTTTAAACTTAACACTTCACAGAACAAATTTCTTTCAATTTCTCTCTTTGCCATTTTTAATGCCGCACCAGCAATAATCTTCAAGGATATATTAATCTGTGATCTTATTTCTCTCTATTCATTTTTTTACTTCCTTTTTTCCCTTGTATAGGCAGATGATTTTTTCAGCAAGTCAAGGCCAAGAAAACCTTGGCAGCACACTTGAAATTGTGGAGGAATGGTGTTAAAAAAGGTTGCCCCTTAGCAAAGTCAACTAAACCAATGTTTGTCCCCATGATATTATATGTGTGTGCAGATTTGTAATCTTGATCACAGCCCACACCTTGGCTACTATAAACAGGATATCAAAGAATAAAAAGGCACTGCACTCCACATATCAATTTGAAGATTTATCAACTTACTTGAATTTAATTATTAATATTTCTGTTCAAGAATACACTTCATAGTCTTGGGGAGAGGCATCAACTAAAATCAAATGATTATGGGCTAACAAAAGCAATGATTTCAAATTGATGGTCAAGTTAAAGTAGGCTTTTCAACCTGACTTTTTTTGAATAGTCCAAAAAAACATGACACATCCTGGTAAGATTGAATTTGTTTTGTCCCTGAAGGATGAAGAGAAATGATAAAAAGGGAAGAAAAAACATCACTTGAGGGAGCAACTTTGGTAGAACGCAGAGGAAAGCTTATGGTAGCTTGGAAATTTCATTGGCACAATGTTGGAAAATCTTCAAGGACCTTGAGTTAGTAAATGTGTATGTCTAAAATCACTTGGCACCTAGTCCACCAATAAAAGTCTGTACACAACCCCAACAAGCACTCATAAGCCCCAGATACTTGTTGCAAATGGAGTATACCATTAGAAATAAATGGGTTCCAACCCACACCCTCCTCAGACCAAACTAAGCTTGATAGATCTGTAACCAGCCTCAATGACTCAGTGGTACCACCGGTTCAACTTCATGACCCCAAGTGCAGGATGAACTGGCACAACAAGTCATTAAGACCAGTCAAAGACCAGTTGAAGAACTGGCCATCTCCTCTCAAATAATGGTCCTCATGACAGTTTGTCACAGGTATAAACACCTCTATGACAAATTGTTATAGGGTTTATTCAGCTGGCATACATGTCCTCTTGAAAATAGTTGTTCAATCTGTCAATGGGAAGTAAAATCCTACACCCTTGACACATGATAGCCAAACCCTTCATTGGAGGTTTGAAACTTGTCTTGATTGCCACTCCTCAAGATCCCTTCAGTGAGCCATAAACCTTGACTCAATTTTGGCACCAAGCTTGTTATCCTCAGTCACTCAAAGTGGAAGCCTAACCATCAAAAGATGTACACCTCCTCTCATGACTGACCAGCCAGATTCCAGTGTTGGAAAGGGAAATTGATGCATTTCCCTGACACTTAATGAGAAGGCTGGTAGGTTTTGATATTGCAATTGAATTCAGGTCTCAGCACAATGTACCCTTGTCATGAAATCTTTGTTGAAAAAAAAGAAATCTCCTTGCTGAGTTGAGAAGAATTAAATGATGAAATGAATGAAGTTTGAATTGAATAAAGAAGATCAGGTCACTAGGAACAGGTTGATTGGAAAATTATAACAAAAATGAATGTAGATGATTTGAATACCTAACTAGAACAAAACCTACTGTAAGAAAAAAAAGAGCTCTCACATATAGTTAGGAAAAAAAAATTGAACAACAATGAATTGTAATTTGTCTTTTGAACAAAATGAAAGATTGTGTGAATATCAACTGGAGAAGCACATCACAACAGAAGAATGGAGATTTTAGGGCCTATGCAAAAATGACTTAGGTGCCTTGCACATGGCAGGGAAGTAAAACTTGTTGGGCCAATCAAATTCACCAAGGCAATATTTCAAATCACTCCATTTTAAACATTGAAGAAAAGAATTTTCAGAGAAAACATTTGAAGAAAAACAAGAAAGAATAATAATTAAGCACCGTATTTTTGTTTCTTGCATAAGGTTTTTTTTTCTACAAATTGTGGAGAAGCATCTTTTAATTCCTGAGCAACTTTAGCAAGGTCTTTGTTAATTTGAAAAGAACATCCCTGGTGTGTCCAGGTGCGTCCCTTTTGCTTTCGTAGGGATGGAGGAGGTATGGTGGTGCAGTGTTCAAATTTGGTAGTTTGCCAAACAAGCTCCATGATGCCACTAGACTTAACAAAGTCTATCAGGTAAGCATGACGAGGAAATAAGAAGCCATGTCCCAATTCTGTAGAAGGGGGAGGGATAGGTTTGCCTGTTTCAAGGTCAACATAAGCAAAAATACCATATGTCCAGCCGTTGATGTCCTTTTTGTCTTGATGCGGCTTGTTGTAAAAATCGTTGTAGGTGACAGAAACGTTCGAGGCAAACTGGAATTCAATTTGATCCTCCTTACGCATTTCCGCCCATTCCTCCTGAGACCAGTTAGGGATGCCACGTTTATTCATCAACTCCTTGTTTTGTTGGTAGGCACTGTGGGAAATGGCTTCCATCCGTTGAGAAAGGAATTTGTTGAATGATTGAAGTTTCGCCCAAAGAGTATCATCGTGAGCTGATTGGGCAGGTGTGAGATCTGTTCTTCGGGCATAAGTTCCTGTGCAACCAAATGATCAATAACAAAATCCTCACATGATGGAAAGGAATGAAAAAGGGAAGATACATACCAGCAGATTTGCCCCTATCATTTCCAGGTCAAAATCCAATCAGGTGCATCTCACCATTGAGTCGGTTGGCGTTTCTTTTATTACAGGGACGATATTTAGCCATAGCATGAAGAGTTTCAATGACTTCACAAAGTTTTGTAAAGGTTGGCGTGGGCGGGTTAATATCGAAAGAGTGGGTTTCAAAAATGAAGTGAGGAGCTAAGGAAGAGGACAAAACTATTTGACGCGGCGGTTTATTGAGGACGGGTAGATTTATGATACGCTTTCGGGAAACACGAGCTTTGGAGGGAGAACAGATGATGAAGTAACTATCGTCTGAGGGTTTAATCTTCCTGTATGCCCTCGCAATCTTCTTTGCAGTAGTAGATGCATATTGCGGTGGAGGATTTCGAGGTTTGTTGACTCTGTGGGACATTGCTCGTGCTGTAGAAGAGGACACGGCACGTCTTTTTCTTTGGAGCTGAGGTTTGTTGTCCTGATGCTTTTCGAGGATGTCCGGGCTGCTCGTAGGTAAGGGGCTCGTAGCAGGCAAGCTTGCATCTTCGTTGATCGGAAGAGAAACCACACAAGCCTCCTTATAACCCTGATGGTTGTTGGCTTTACGCCTTGCAAGCAAATCAGTGCTACCCAGAGGCAGGGGGCTCTCAGATCGTCCATCGATGCAAGTCGCTGTCTTAAGGGCTGGTTGGACAACCGCACAAGCCCCCTTATGACCCTGACGATTGATGGAGTTACCCATAGTTGATCGATCAGGGCCACCCAGGGGCAGGGGGCCGTCACGCTTAAGAGCACGCAGTAGGTGTTTTCATTTTGTACGGGTCATTGCTACAGTGATTGATCGGTGACTACGGTAGAACAAAGCAAATAAGAATCCAGGGTAGTCAGGAGTGGACAGAACGGTTGTGTGTCATCTCCATGAGTAGATGCCATTAAGTAGAAGACTCACCAAGATGGAAATCTACAAGAGATGATGTTTGGTGAGGAGAGCGATGTCGATTGATGTTCTGTAACAAGACAGAGCAATTGAAAAATATCAATGTCGACTGATTTGAAACGATACCGTGTCTTGTACAGGCATACTTGAATCGATCAAGATTCTTCAGGTCCTTGGATAGTCAAAACGATTCGGCAAACAGTTGGTTCAATCTACAGCAGTGATCAACTGATCAATCTGGAAAGATGGATGGAGTTTAACGATTGGACATAGGAAGACAAGAGGTTAGGTATCGATCTGAATTCATTATTGGTCTGGTGAGGGGTATTCTATCGTAGTGAGTATCACTTACCTTTTGAGTGGAACGTATATCTTGCAGCAATCTTGGTAAGTCAATGAAGCGATTAATAAGATCGATTTCGTATCAAACTGAACGTGCAAGACAAGGAGCGAGAGGTGTAGAGTAGAAGGAGGAGTCCTAAGAACGACGCTGATGTACCTGAATCTGTAGAAACGATTCAAACGATTGAGAAAGGAGTAGTTGATTGAGTGAACGATCACTGGATCAGCTGTTTGATGGGCATAAGTCCGAGAGAAAGAGGCAGAGAGATGAACTGTTAGACAAACTGATTGGTGGCAGCGACTTGATGGGAGCGATCTAAAGTAGACAGGTCATATGAGAATAAAATGCAGTCATTGAACAATCAAGAAAGAAATCCAGAAAAGAACGAACGACACGTACATACAGTTCCAATCGGCTTATTGGTTCTAGACTGAGTCGATCGATTGGTGGGAAAGCTGAAAGAAGATGTTTGAGATTTTTGAGTGAGTGTGCGAACCGGAGGAACGTTCGGGATGTGTGCATGTTTCATTACATAATCAACCATTTCGAGTTGGGCAATGACCCTCCCAAACATTCTGCAGAGGAATAACTGAAGCCAATCAGCAGTAACTGGGGTAAATCAAATATAGAAAAAACCTGATTGATGTCAGCTATACCAGGAACAAGACAAACTCTTCATTTGACACAAAGAATGTGATCAACTTGCCAAATAAAAGCCCAGTCAACTGATGAGATTTAATTGGATGGAAATAGAACAGGTTGGAAAAATCCTTCATAAAGCAAAGAGTGGTCCAAAAATGAAATTTGAATTTGATACCCATCGCACCTTATCAGTTGTACATTGCAGGAGCTCTGGAACCTATTGTATATCATAAAATTTATTTTTCAAGCAATAATAATACTGCACCATGAAATTTCCAGGCATAAATGTATTGATCAGAAAGATCTTTATCTCAGAGTAGGAATATGGTTCTGGTGTGAGTAAAATTTATTGAGATAAGGATCATGCAATATTGAGTTACCTAGGCTGATAATGTAGGAGGAAAATGGTGAATCTGTGGTGTGTGCATCAACAGAGTGTGTTAGCAAGGTGTCCATATGAAGAGGAAGGAAGTGACATATTCACCCAAAAAAAGTACTAGTGAACATGATCTACTAGAATACTGCATGAAAACATGAAACAAATTATCAATCCATTTGTATTTTAAAATTTTTCAAATATATGTGGCATAGAAAATGTTAAAATAGGAGCATTAAATGGGGAGTGTTGATTGAGCTCATGACCTGGTTAAGCTGATGGTTTCCTTTGCTTAAGAGGGTGTTGTCAGAGTTAAACAAAACACATTGAAAATTTGAATGGATGAAAATCTCCCTCGGCAATCCAACCCGTAACCAGGTATTTCAAACCACCTTTCTCTGAAATCAACTTCCTACAGGTAAAAACGTTTTATACTGATGAAAGAAAATTGTGTGGACAATGGAAAAGTCGGCAGGATTGAAACTTAGGAGTTGGGAGTAAGTTTTACTGTCGTGTTGTGGGGCATAGTAAATTGGAATTACTGAAAATAGTTGCCTGCAATGGAAAAGTGGAGATGAAATTGCAGATGTTGAGAAAAACATGCAATCATGTTTTGAAAGATGTTTGATCATGTGAAGTAAATGTTTCTACAAATTATCTACAAAAATATTTCTTGGTGTGGGTTCCTCAAAACAATTCAAAGGAATAAGATCCAGCTCAACAGGTCAAATATCCAATTAAAAAGGCCTCATCATAAGAAATTACAAATAGCCCGGATCATGAAGCACGGCGTGCTTATTACAAATGGAGAGGATCATTAAGCACGGCGTGCTTAATAAAAATGGGGTGATCATTGAGAACGGCGGTCTTAATACAACTGGCGGGGATCATTAAGCACGGCGGCCTTCATGCAAATTTTGGGGATTGTTAAGCATGGAGGGCTTAAGAATGTAACCCCGTGGGGGGGACTTGAGAGAGGGTATTGAACAAATGAAAAATAATGCAAGGTATCTTCTATACAATATGCAGTCGACAGACACAGGTTCGGTTCAATTGCCAGAGGAGGAGAATTAGAATTGACATCAAGAGGTCAGGTGGGGGGCAAAGTGATTAGTGCAAATGGAGACATACAAGTTAATGAACTTAAAAGTAGTATGATTTGCAAGATCTTTAAGTCAGGATGATTGTAAAGCAGTCAGGAATATATCTAGAAATATACGACATACCTAATGTGTGATTTCATACATTTATATTTTGTGATCAGTCCACCTGCAAGGTGAAATTTGATTATATATTAAATTAAACCTATCATTCTGTGAGAATTATTTGCAAACCTGGTAGGAGTAAATATCTTCATCTTTGCTGAGACCTTTGGTCTAAAGCAATGGGTGTACGGTGTAAGACTCAAAAGTGGTTATGAAAACCCTTTTGCTGAATGGAGAAGGGGATGATGGAGTTGCAAGCTCTGCCCTTCTATGCTATCAGAACAACAAGACCACCAAGCTTAGCTTGGCAGTTATATTTATTGTGATAGAGGATAGTTCAAGATGAAGCTTCCGAGTGATGTGTATAAGGTCTGAAGTTATAAATGAGTGATGATTATATTGATGAAGCTGTTGTTCAAAGCTTTAAAACCAAGGCGCGGAGCTCTGGGAGCGCTATGCTTCAACCAGTAATGGTATGTGAGGCAGTTTATGGCACTTGGCACTTGTTATGATGATGAAAGTGTTATGGTTGTATTTCAATATAATGTGTTGTTATGGCTGTCACTTGTATATAATCTGTAATGTGGGTTGAGATGATCTGGTCCTCTGGTGGGATGATGGAGGGAACAACTGGCAGGCAGAGGCCTCCTTATATAGACAAATGTGAGGGATTTTAGCCCCAGGGTACAGGCTTTTGAGGCATTTTAGCTGGCCTGAAGATCCAATGAGGGATTTTAGCTGGTCTAATGAATGCAGGTGAGGGAATTTGGCTGGTGAGAGCACTGCCTTGAGGGAATTTAGCTAGCCTACAAGATCCTACTACAAAGGAATGCATGTGCACCTACAAAGGAATTCAATATGCACTATGTGCCAATAAAGGAATTCAATACAACACAAAGGAATTCAATATTCAATATGCATCCAGTATTCAAAATGAGCCATACTCAGAGTAAAGAATCCAAAAGATATCCTGTGACAGGTTGAAATCTGTGTAACTTCTAAACCATGAGAGATATGGGGTCAGTTGTAGTGGGTGACTAGGGGTAATTTTACCTGAGAATTCCATTTCTGATGTTATTTTTATGATATATTTAGTTTATAAAGAGATAATAATAAATTTTTATATTTTCTGCGTAGAAACACAGTATTATTTACCACATCCTCCCCCAACTTATTGGCTGTCCCCAGTCAATTCTGATTTTGACTTGTGTTTTGGAGCTAATCTTACAGAAAAAAATGAAAGAAAACCTTTCCCTGCGTGTATTTAATTGGCTTGAGCAGTGTTGAATTGATGTTACAGTGTCCAGAAAAATACAACTTGGCCAGCAGGGAATTCTGACTGTAAAAACTATGTTTTATTTGGGATTTTTATTCTTGGGAGCACTTAAGACTGAGAAGAAATCCAAAATTGTGTAGTGGAATTCTTAAATGGTAAAATTTTTAGGGGACTTTTGATTTTTCAAGAATTCGTAGTCAAGGCCTGGAATTGAACTCAGGTCCTCAAAATAACTATCTGTAAATATAGCTTTGAAAAGAAAAAACTATATAAATTTTTGTTTTCTGACTTATCTTGATGAGACTCCAAAAAAAACAACCTGTTAAAGGTGCAGAGCTTCTTGCTTTGGTGCAGAAAGGGAATTGAACCCAGGTAAGTAGTTGATGATGGGGGTCCTTCCCAACTCGACTAAAGTACTTGTTGTGAAGCCTATCAGTATGGAAGTCTAATCGCTCGCGCTTTGGCCAGAATGTTTCAGCCCTGTCACAGGTGTGACAGGGCCCGATTGGCGATAAGTGTGCCCTCTCCCCGCCGTAGCTCCTTCCTCTCCGTGGGTATCTCTCCATCCCCCCTCGTCCGATCCGCCACCGTCTCTCTCGTGCTGGAATTCGACTGGCCGCCACTCATCTCGTCTTCGACCGCGTCACTCGACCAATGGTGTATCCATCTGGACAGGTAAGTGTGATCCTGTCTCTCTTTCTCTCTCTCTTAGATTTTCTTTAGTTTGACAGTTGCTGCGTTCCAACAGATACATGACGCCACCGTCGATCTTCATCCGTACTAGTTCTGGCCTCGGCGAATTCTGGTGCTCTCAACTGTGGGTCGTTTCTCTCTTTTCTTCTGCTTCATCTTATCTGCCTCTCACTCTTGTTTGCTACCACATATCTTCTTAGTATTGATTCTGCCGTGTCGTTAGTGTCATCTAGGATCAAACAGATCTCGTTGCTCAGCGCCATTTCCTCTCTCTGTCCGACTGGTTTATTCCTCCTCTCTTGAACCCTGGTCTTGATCGCGCTAGCAGTTTCTTGGGGGAAAACGGCATTCGTGTAGTCAAGGCTAGTACTTCCGCCTTCTTCTAATTTGTTATCCATCGCTAGCACTTAGCTGTCATCACCACGATTGGTTCTTCCCCACATTGCTCGATCTCGATCCTGCCTCTCCTTCGCGCTATTTCTCGGTCCATCACCAGAATGCCTCCCCGTTGCTGGAAACCGCCGTGGGTTGGTATCCTCCCTGCAGAAATCTTTGTACCGGCCCTCCTCTCGGGTATAAAAACCGACCTCGCTTCCTCGCTTTCTTTTCTCCCTCACCAACTCACATCCTCATCTTTCAACACTATCAACAACCGCTTCCCAACCTTCAACCTTACCTCCAATCCACCTTCACCATGTCCTCTATCTACGATGGCTATGACACCAATGACTTTTACTGCGAAGGTCGCTCGGACCCTTCAATCGATGTAAGACTTTCAACTTGCTGCTTTCTATTGTCATCGTTACTGATGCTTATTTTCCTGTTCTGCCTAGATTGGAGTGCGTTACTACCCGGATCGCGACCAATGGAGTCCGGTCTTCAATCCTAACGTTGTGGTAAGTGGTCGTTCTTCCTCTTCTTGTCTGCTGTCGCTCTAATACTGATTGATTCTGTTGACTATTGCTGATTACTAGCCCGATGATAGCGCTGTTGGCAACAAAGGCCCAATCAAAGCTGTTGGCAACAAGACCCCAATCGAAGCTGTTGGCGACAAGACCCCAATCGATGTTAAACCGGTATGTCTTTCCCTTATTGTTTCTTGTTTTAGCTTAACCCTAGGCTAATCTTTGTTCTTCTCTCTGTTCTAGACCGTGGATGCCAAGGATAAAGGGCCTGCCGAGGCCACCGTTGATCCAGCCTCGATCAACACGATTGTAAGTCACTCTTCCGCTCCTCCTTGTTGACTGTCTTGTCGACTCTTTCTATCCGTTACTGATTTATCTTTTTCTATTCTAGCTTCCCTCTGAGCTGGTGTGCTCAGCATCGTTGGTCTACATCCCCAAAGGGATGGAAATCGTTGAGACTAGGACCCACTATTATCCCTTAAAGGATAAGTGGCACGCAATCAATGATCCGTCGCGACATTATGATTGTGTAAGTTTCCTCTCCTTTTCTTCTGTTCTCCGTTTTGCTAACACTTTTGTCTTTGATCAGTCATCTATTCCAGATCAGGTGCCGATCCCTCGCCTGTTCCCAAAGCCGCACCCCTTTGTCTGTGTCCCGTGGAGTGTCCACGACCCCGAGCTTCCTCCTGGCCTTCCGGTTCCCTTCCTTCGCACCCTGAACCTTCCTGTCCCGGCTCCTACTACGGCTCCGTCGACCTCGAGCTCTGAATCTTCGTCCAACGACTCGGATTCTTCGTCCACCTATCCGCTCATCTCCAATTACATCAACTTGAACCACCAAGGAGTCCAAAAACTCCTTCTCGACGACAACACTCCACCAACCGCCGTCTGTATCTACACCGAGGAAGACGTCATGCGCATCTTCGAGGGTATTGCGCCGGAGTATGTGGATATGTGCTCAGAATACCCTCCCTCCTCTTTAGCTGAATCCGACCGCCGGGTGATGTTCTTTGAGAACATGCAGTGGTTCTTTAGAAACAAGAGATCCACTTATTTGAGCACCAGAAAGTTCTAAGTTCTTTGTCTTCCACTTTTCTTCTTCAAACCCAAAAAAAATCTTTAAAAGGTAACAAAAAAATAAAAAAAAGTTTAAACTCTTCTAAACCCCAAAAAAAGTTGTATCCTCCTGACTTGAGTTATTATTAGTTACACTTTTTCTCTTTTTATTCTTTTATCTTTCTAAGTAAATAAATTTTTAATTTTTCCCAACTACCATTTCCGACCCCCCTCCCCCAACTCTGATGGTTGTCCTCAACCATCTTGGCTTTAAGTAAGTTTTGAGTGAGAAGACTATTGTGAGAAAAAAAATTTTAAAAGAAAGAGAATGTGGAGTTTCCTCCCCCAACTCAAGAAAAAATGACTAGTATGTGGTATATTTTTGGTAATTTTATGTCTTATTTCCAGCTGTTTTTATACTTTATGTGTTTTTTGTATGATGATGGTACTGACTTAGAATTACAGAATAAACTCCAGAGGAAAATATGAAAAGAAATGTTTTTAATCTGAAGTGTCAGAGTCCCTGTCTGAGCTACCTTCTGAACTATGATCTGAATCTGAAGGCGAGTCTTCTTCGTCCCGAATTTCTGCCAAAGGACGTCCACGTGGGTAGAACCTTTTGATGTGAGATGCGGCATAAGCCCTTTTTAATTCTACTCCATCCAGTTCTTCCAGTATGTATGATCCTCCATTGAGTTGTTTTTTGACTTTAAATGGCCCATTCCATCGATTTTCAAATAATTTTCCCCACTGATCCTCGAGACTCTTGTTATAGGTTAAAACTAGGTCCCCAGGTTGAAGTGGTTGTCGTAATCTAGCCGCCATTTTTCGATCCCAGAACCGAACAGAATTTTCTCGAGTTTCCATCATTTTGTTGTGAGCTATGTCCAAAATTCCGTCTTGTCTTTCCAATTGTTTCGTCCTTGCTTCCAGAAGTTCTGCCGTAGTACTTATTTCCGTCCAATCAATTCCCAGGTAAGTGTCCATTTCGATATCCACAGGAAGAACCGCCTTTTGACCAAACATCAGTTCATACGGAGAATATCCAGTAGTCCTTTTTGTTGAGATTCTGTCTGAAAATAAAACTAAAGGTAAATATTCCCTCCATTTTCCGCCTGATTCGCCACACAGCTTTACTAATGTATCTTTGATTGGCCTGTGGCCTCTCTCGATCATTCCATTTGCTTCAGGATAGTACGGCGTAGTTGGTTTGAATTTGGCTCCAATGCTTTCCACTGCCGTAATAAATTCATTCTTGAATTCTGGACCATTGTCTACTGTAACTGTTTTGATTGCTCCATATCAATACACCCAGTCTTCTAGGAGGAATTTAGAAATAGCTGCTGCTGTTAACTTGACCAGTGGTGCCGCTTCTGCCCATCCGGAAAGGTCGTCTCTAGCAATTATTAAATATTTGTATCGTCCTGCTTTGATATGGCAAACGTCCAACGCCACTCGTCCAAATATAGTCATCGCTCCGGTTGGGTCCCTGATTTCTCTAGGCACTAAGGCATCTCTTTTCTGGCAGGCCTCACAACTTTGAACCCACAACTTTGTTTTCTTCTTCAAACTGGGCCACCAAAATCTGCAAACCAGTCGTTGATAAGTTTCCTCCAATCCTCTGTGTCCCAAATCTTCATGGACTTTTCGCAAGAGTTTACCTTGGTAAGAGATGTTGGAGATAACCAATTGAGCCATGGGAGAGTGTCGCCGCATGAGTCGTCCATCTTGGATAAAGAAGCTAACTGATTTTCGCTTTATGGACCGGTATTCCTCAGGATCCATGCCTGTTGGCCGCTTCATGGTACTTAAGTAATTTTTAAGGTCCATCCAGAATCCAGGTGCTTCCCATTCCAAAAGTTCTTCTGATATTGAAAATGTCCGGAACTGGTAAGTTGCACGTATTACTGGCTCATCTTCATCAAAGTCTGGCTGATCTTCGTAGAATTCGTCCTCTTCATCACTGATAGGTCTTCTGGATAAAGCGTCCGGTAAAGTAAATGTTTTTCCCGGCTTATGTACTATGTCAAACGAGAAGAGTTGAATAAAGGCCACCCATCGCGTCATTGGTGCATTTGGGAGTGAAGGTGAGTTGATCATTTGGATAAGTGATTGTGCGTCCACTTGTAATTCAAAGTGTTGACCCCAAAGAAGTGTTTGCAGTTTCTTAAGAATTCGAGAGACTCCACATAATTCTAATTTTGGCTGAGAATACTTGGATTCCACGGGTGAAAACACTATTGACTCGTATAAAACCGGTCTATTCAATCCTGTCTCTAGTTCTTGTTGGTCCAAAACTGCTCCTGCTGCAATGAAACTTGAATCCACCGCTAGCACAATCAGTCCTGCGCCTTCCGAATAGTCCAGATTTTTCAAGGTGATATCTTCCCCAATTATTTGTTTGAGTTTGTTAAATGCTTCATTACATTCCCCAGACCATGCAAAACTAATGTCTTTCCGTGTGAGTTTCCGTAGAGGTGCCGCAATTTCCGCTAGGTCTTTTACAAAAATGCGGACGTAAGTGACTATTCCCATAAATCCTCGTAGCTCGGTGAGACTGTTTGGAGTTGGCCAGGTTGTGATTTTATTCTTCTTCTGTACTGAAACTTTTCGTCCTTCTTTGCTGACCACGTGTCCAACAATATCCAATGCAGGTACACAGCAAGCAAACTTCTTTCCAGAAATCGTGAGTCCGGCTTCTTCAATCCTAAAAAGAACTCTCTCCAAAGTTTGAGCATATTCCCAGATAAATCGCCGTATACCCGGGTTTTCTTCCAGAACTTCATCGTTGTAAGTGGTTCGAGGTCCCTTTATTCCGCCATCGTCAATAAATACTCCCACGTATTCCGGAATTTCGTCTTGAAGAATCCACATCATTTGAGCTTGATAGACTGCAACCGAGTTTGTGGCCCCTTGAGGAAGTCTGGTTAGTTGAAATCTTCCCAAAGGTGTATCAAAAGTGGTTAAAGGCCTTGATTCTTCCGCCAATTCTCGTTCGTCGTATCCTCCCATAATATCTCCTAGTCCATAACAGGCTTGTCCAGCAAAGGCTTCTACAAATTCTTCTGTTGCTGGTGGTAATCCCGCGTCCTTGATGGTTACTTGGTTCATTTCCTGTAAATCGTGCACA